TTTTTTTTTTTTTTTTTTTTTTTTTTTTTTTTTTTTTTTTTTGAATAAATAATTGTATTCAAATATGTTATCTGTTGTGTTGACATATATTCATCTCGAATTGTTTTAGTAATATCACGATAAATTTTACTCAATTGACTCTTAATGGACATTCTCTAAAAAATAAATTTGCCAAAGGCAATTTTAATCAAATATTCATGAGTTTTACTTCAAGTGTTTGTTCACCATGACACTGCTGCTTTTAACTTGATGTTTGTATTGATTCCTAGTCATGCAGCTAGACGTGTTATTGACTGGCTATAAAATTCGTGTTTGCTTGATAATCTCTCGCATATTTCGAAGCTGTTAAATTATCTGCTTAATCATCCGATGGCGTTTTTAAACTGTTTACGAGCAATTTCGACTGCTAAATTTATAGGTTTTATGTGACTGGTATAGATATACGAGGCAAGATTAGTCGTTTAATTATATTATCCTGCATTACAACACAAAGACGACACAGGAGGAAAGCACAATTACGTGGGCATCAATTAGTGTCGTTAACAACAGAATTGTATTTATGCGAAACTCTTAGCTAATCTTCCTTAATTGTCCAGCTCTTTTATAATCTGGACATAAAGAAAGCATAAATTATTAAGCCGGAGTGAATATGTTATGGCCTGATGTGGGCTTACACGTACGAGTGCTGAAATCCTTATTATTATTTATTAAGGTATATCTTATGCACTTGGCACTTTTTAAACCAAGTTCTAATATAAGAGAGTGGCGATATTGGACAGTGAAACGGCTAAGAGATAAGGTATTTAAATGTGTATTTTACTTATAAATACTATTTTACTCTTCAGGTGAATCGTATTGCCATATTAAACATGGGTTTGCCTCCCATGAAGGCTGTTTCGTTGCGTTTTCTTCTGATTTGTGGAGCTTGTTTGATCACTTCGTGTGTGGGTTTCGCCTGCCAACCTCCAAAGATTGTACTGTAAGTAAATACCGTAAATACTTGTTTTTTCATAGACTGTGGTATTGATTCAAGGTTATAAACAATTGCATATGAAGGTTTTGATTTTTTCGGAGCACTTTTATCTACTAAGTTTTCTCGACTTTCACTTCGTTTGGCGAAAAAATAATAACGACTTTGGCAACAATCTAACTTAACTCAACTCGAAAATTCAAAACGGAGTTTCATTTGTACCGGTGATAACAACGGTTAGTGAAGCGTTCATCCGGCTCCAGTTTTCGTTGCCGACTTAAACTCAAACGATGAATCAAAAAGTTGGTGAACTGTAAGCAAGGATTACACGGATACACTGATCTGTCGAGGTTACCGCGTTTTCTTAAGCCGTTTAGAATACAAGCAGCCCTTACTTAGAAAACCTTGCGATAAAGTGCGCGACGTTTGCTAAATTAAATAGTTTATTCAAAAGTTGATCATTTACGAATATTGTATTTTTCAGAAAAGGTAATTTCATAGTTCTATTTGAATTGTGACGAACTCTTGATATTTTTTGAAATAAAGGACCTATCATTGTATGATCTGTAGAGAATTCACATGCAATATTGGGAGGGAACTGAATCAAACATTATTTATCTTTATTATTGCCACAGGAACTGCAGAGGGAAAGAACTTCTGACATTCCCAAGTGATAAATGTGGCTTCAACAAAACAGAAGTTCATTGCTTGTAAGTAAAAAATTGTGTTGCCATTAGTTACATTCGCCAATCCTTTTCGAGACTATGAGTCCGATCACGCAAATAGTGTGTACCGGTGCGCGCATGATTTAGGAACCGAGTTCCGATTTGTCATCACGTACCCTGATGTTAATGACAGCTAAATGGTTTGCGCGTGTTGTCCTGTTCTACAAGAGGGAAAGAGTTATAGTGATAGTATAAAAGCAATGCGTCATTGCAGYCATACAAAGCGATGATAAAAAGACCTAGGGTAGCGTAAACATGACATTGTTTGACATAGCTGGAGTCATAAGATGATGAATGTTGACTTATGACAAACGTAAAATATTTGTTCTTGACGTGCACTGACATGACCTATACTGGACTGCTGTCTCTGCTGCTATAGTGATTTTATTCATCGTGGCCCATTAAACAAAGTTGTGAAATAAGTGACTAACAGTCCAAGTAAAATAACAAAAACAATGGAATTCTGTTACGTTGACTATTCATTCGTCACTCTTACTGCTATGTAGTCACCAATAACCAATATACTGCTATAATGCTACTCAGTACTACTACTGCTGCTGCTGCTGCTG